GGTAAACAAAATAATAATTTGATTTAAGTAAGAGCTATTTTTTCTTCCCGATTTATAAAAAAAAAATCCTTAGAGGATAGAAAAAAATTAATATTATTTTTCAAAATCTGCATAGCTGAATTATGGAAAATCTGTTATTAAAACCCAAACAAATTTTTACTGAGTTTAAATTCGTAGGCCTGTGTTATTAATAAATTATTATTGGCGTATGCAATAAAGAAATGATGGACTCTCTGTCTCACATTTTGTTCACAAGCAAGACTTCAAATACACACATAGAAAAAGATTATTTCAACTGAATTCAGATCAAAGTTTTTAAAGCAATCGACTGTTATGATGATAAGTCCGACGTGGCGAAGTATGATACGCTAGTTAGTTTAAATAAACTTTTTTTTTGTTTCGAGGTTTACGTGTAAGGTGTTTTAAGTTGTCTTTTACTCATCACAGTGAACCTATATTTATGGTTGTAGAAGAATTCATTCTCGGTAATTTCACTCCCTGTAATAATTTATTAATGTCAAATAATATGTTTTGGTGTTCCATAATGCATCCCAATATTTGTAAATTAATTTTAACTTTGAAGAATGTTCAGTTTGACAAGAAATATAAACAAACGGCTTTAAATTCTTCTTGCTAGCTAAAAAACAAGATCGACGAACAGCCCATAACTTGTATCACTTTTAATAAATGTTACTTTTATTGTTGACTAGCAGCGTTACCCGGCGTTGCCCGGGTTTTCAAAGAAAACCCTACTCTCTCTCTGTTTCTCTCTTCCACGTTTCGACAGGTAAAGGATATTTTGCGAATTTATGAAAAACAAACAAACCTTAGGTCGGATTTTTGAAAATAAATTACTAGCCTATTTTAAATCAGGGCTTCCTTATGAACGATGTTTTTTCTTTCCTTCACTGGTAAGGATAAATAAACCCGTATTGTTCCCCACTCTTGAGCATCCAAGGTAGAGTAGTTCAAATCAAGTTCTACTACTTTCAAATACCAGCCCTATGCTTTGTTGATTGACATTGCAAAGCTTAATTTGACTGGGAACTGCAGGGGTTTGAAGTCGAAGGGGAGATCGGTTGGAATTAATGGGATACGTGGGATGAAAATATGTTCCCCTTTGTTGTTTCCAATAGTATTTTAATGGCTAGGCCTATTGTTTGCTTTTTCGCACACAGCATTCTAATTGTGCATACATTTCTTTTGTGTGTGTGTGGTTAAATACATGATGTATTAATTGGTGTATAATTATAATCCATAACTAAAGAGGCCTATCTATTGTAATACTAATAAAATAAGAGATAAATAAACACAATTTCCACGTTCAACCCATCTTCCACCTCATGCAAGCTCTCTGCCAGTTACACCGACTTGACTTTAATCTCATTGTACACAATAAGTATCGTAATGTAAGCTTTACTCTTTTCACGTAATCTATTTTATGGCTAACTGCATAATTTTATTTTATAGGCTAGGTCTACTGTTTGCTTTTTTCCCACACAACATTCTAATTCTGTATACATTTCTTTTGTGTGTGATGTTAAATATATGATGTATTATTAGATCTATAATTAATGATTTATAACTGAATAGGCCTATCTATTCTAATGTTATATTTTAAAATAAATGTTAACTCAAACTTACCAAAAAAATATTAAGTCTGCGTAGAATCACAACCATGTAAAACATGTTAACGATAAAATTAATGGTTCGGCTAGCAGACGATAGACGCGTATATCAACGAAAAAGTGTCATTTTGCGCACTTTCACGTGAGGGAAGTGTGACCTGCGCAGTGGACTTGACGGACAAACAAGCAAGCAAACAAATAAACAGAGAAATTTTAAGTTTTATATAGAGATTAGTTTTTGACATTAATAAATTATTGCCGGGAGTGAAAATACTGGTCACCAATATATGATTTGAAGAATATCTAGCACTGAGGAGTCGAGTGATAGATAGTAACTGATATTTATTGTTTACCAATGGTTTTTGGTATCGATGTTACAGAAACTCAAACGTAGTCCTTCTATTCAAACTAAAATGTAGTCCTTCTAGTCAGTATTTTCAACCTGAAGAGCACCTTATGATTTACAAATCTAAACGACCAAGAATAGTTTCAGGCACATAGTTTCCCTAATTTTGAACTACTGACCAGAAGGTGAACAACCAGTCAGGTCGTGGAGACGTTTCGCCAAGCGCTGTCTGACCACGCTGTTGGTCTTCCTGTAGGCAGACCACCCTCGCAGCCACTTACTACGATATCTCCCGTCATCGAGAGCTGGGAGAAGAGAAGCTAAAGAGCTTCTGAGCACCCCCAGTAATTCTCAGGGGTATCCAGTCTCTACAATATTCCCACAAGTACATATAAATTATCAACTTTTATTTTTGATTGATGCTTTATTCTACAAAATAATTAAACATGTAAACAATATCTAATTTATTTAGGACAGATTGTATCGTACGGAGGATCCGAAGGTCTCTGGTTCGAGAAACAGTATTACCATTAACTGTCATCCGTGAGTACGTTATCAGAGTAACAGTCAATCTCATCATTCGATTAAAAGTTGCCCCTTCAGACGGCAGGTGCTTCCGACTGGTTGTCTTCCACGTGACTCACAGCTCAAAATCGGAGACTACTGTCCCCGAAACATAGAGTTAAAGCCATTATGTGCATAAGGTGTTTTTTGGGTGAACAAACAAACAGTCTGAACCATTTTATATAAATGATAACTTACAAAACACTGGAAACCTGGAGAATCCCGTCGCTGAGTGTAAGTGTACAAAACTCCGTTTTCTTCCCAGTTGCCAAGACAACGATATTCCCGTTCTAGAAAGAGACACTTTTCTTAAGCTTTTTAATTTTTTTTTTCAAGTCACGCGGAAATCAGTTGAATAGACTTTAATAGTAGTTTCGCTTCTCCCTGATTCGTATTAGTGCGTTTTTCACGCGGATCGTGGGGGGGGGGGGCATTCAGAAAAATTCACTCTTGCGAGATATTCCAACTACATTTTTCTGTGAATTAGCTTTGAAACTCAATCAAGGATATGATATTTCAACAGATAAACTTTAAATTATTTAAATGAAATACAAGTCCGGCCTTTAAAGTTCGCTATCGATGAGGCAACATTTGAAAGTATTTTGAATGTCAAAAGCGATGTATTTATTCACTCAGAAAACCGCGTTGAAAGCTCTCTTTAAAAATGCTCAGTAAATTTAGGATTTTATTTTTAAAGTAAGGAACTATATATTAATAATAGAAGTTTTCATAGAATAATCTTCTTGGTTATTTTCCAGAATTGAACTATTGTTAAAACTATAAATGTTTGTTCTTACGTTTAGGTTTGTGATCTTGGCGTCTGCCATTGTAGTGTTGGTATCCGTCACCTCTTCTCTTAGTAGCTGAAATGCGAACATTTTTGTGAGTGTTCATTTACAAGAATAAAGAATTTTAAAGTTTGTATTATTATTATTATACATTTCTGAATACGTCACGAGTTTTATTTTCGTACTTTTAAGTTTGGAATATAGTGATACAAGGAGTAACTTAACATTGGGGAGGGACATTGAGATTGTTTTCGTTTGAATTTCGCGCAAAGCTATACGAGGAGCTATCCGCGCTAACCGCTTTTAATTTCGCAGTGATAGACTAGATGGAACATTGCTAGTCAACATCACCCACCGCCAACTATTGGCCTACTCTTTTACCAACGAATAGTAGATTTGACCGTCACATTATAACACCATCACGGCTGAAAGGGCGAGCATGTTCGGTGTGACGGGGATTCGAACCCACGACCAGCAGATTGCGAGTCGAGCGCCCCCTAACCACCAGGCCGTACATTGAGGATAACTCTATGATATTTTAGTTTTGATTTACAGCCTATATGAATGTACGTGTATTCAGATTATTCCATATTATGTTGGGTTGCTTACTTATTACCCAAATTAAAGGGAACTTATCGAGATTTGTGAAGGGGGGAGCTCCTTGTGAGTGGGATGGTAATCCCTGCTGTTGGTCGGAGGAAAAATTATTTCTGGTATTTCGCAGTTCGTTAGATACACGAAAAAAAAATTTAATATTTTTAAAGAACTGTACTTCAATAATGGTTGCAATTATTATAATTTACGAGCAATTATGTAGGTTGCTAGGTAACGACTTAAATTTAAATGATCATTGGATGGTTACTAAGTAACAGTGTCAACCGATGATTTTTCGATGGTCTCCGAACATTTATTAAGGTGTTAGTGTGAGTATTACTAATTTAAAGTTTAGTCAACAATTTATCGATAATATGTTCGTTTGTGATTAAGCTTACGTCAAACATTGCCATAGTAACAAGTCGTATCATGATGATAGTTTGAAATAAACGCCACAGATAATAATAATAAAAACGCACTAAGTAGGCCTAATGATTAGTGTATCGGAGTGGATCTCGGTTAATACTATACATCCTTAAGCACTTTCAATTGTGGATGCGTTATAAAAGTGACAGTCATTCCCGCTTCCCCTCTGGTCCACAGTTCAAAATTGGGGACGGTTATTCTTTAATCTCTGAGATAGTTTAGGTGAACAAATAAATAAATCAAAAACAGCAGTTGACTGACTGAAATTGCATTCATTGATTTCATAGCATGAAGGCTTTTGCGGTACTTAATTTGACAGTTAATAATCATCTCTAGATTTATTTATTTTATTAAAATAAAATATTATTTGATCTCTTCGAACTCGGGGTTTTTATTGCAACAATTGTAAAGTCCATGGTTATTTTGGGGCTCACAACGTTTGTTTGTTTCACAATTTCCGCGAAAGTCTACATGAAAACATTCGCAATTACGAACTGACAGAATAGATGGAAGGCAGCTGGTCAACTCTTGGGCTACTCTTGTCTGATCGAACAATGAGATTTGGACGTCAGTCACTCTTATAGCGAATCTGGAACTCCAGACTGGAAAGCGCGTTTTTTATTTTATTTTCTCTTCCTTTTTTTCTTGGTCCGGCATGGCCAGGTGGTTATTGCGCTAGGCTCGCAATCTGCGGGTCGCGGGTTCCAATCCCCGTCACACCAAAAATGCTAGCCCTTTCAACCGTGGGGGCGTTATATGTTACGATCAATCCCACTATTCGTTGGTAAAAGAGTAGATCAAGAGTTGGCGGTGAGTGGTGATGACTAGCTGCCTTCCCTTTAGTCTCACAATGCTAAATTAGGGACGGCTGGCGCAAATAGCCCTCGCGTAGCTTTGCGCGAAATTCAAAAACAAACTTTTCTTTTTTTTTTCGGCTACGAGGGGTTCAGAGTATATGTCAATCTTTTTTATCTTACTGTCAAATTTCAGAAGAAGTTAATAAAAAAATATATATAAATTATAATGAAAAACAGTTTTAACACCCATGTAAAGCAATATAAATCCATTGTCCTACAAAAAATGGAAAAGCCTAGAACAGCCAAGATTACTTACTAAACTATTTATAACAGAAAGGCTTTCGTCACTGTTTATTTGGTGCTTCATTCCAAAATCTGAATTTGCAACGTTTCTTACTTCATTAGGCTTAACTTTTTTTAAGAGGTTGCGCGTGGTGTGATAATCACTAACCTTCGTTCGAATACAGCTTGTTCCCACAATCCCTAATTGAGTAATGTAAAATATCGGGATTGTTACAGTCGGTAGCCATTTTAGCACATAATGTTCCTCCACCAGATGTCACCCCGCTGTAGTTTCCTGTGATTGGACAGGATTCAGGTTGAGTAACGTCTAACCCTAAAAACAACAACAGAATCAGCATAAGCTGGCTAAATGTTTCTATAATTTGTTAATTTTAAAATTTTCGTTTATACCTTTATGTTATTGCTTGGATGTTCGATATAACCTAAATTATTAAGGTTATTAACCCTTAACTATCAAGGTTATTAATTCTGAACTATCAAAGTTAATAATCCTTAACTATCAAGGTTATTAAACCTTAACTATCAAAGTTATTAACCCCTAACTATCAAGGTTAATAATCCTTAACTATTAATGTTAGTAGTCAAACATCACAATTTCTAGAACACTTGACTTCTCAACAATAAAAGCAAACATTTACAATCACCCCTCCCCCAATAAATGTTTGGCATGGAGCAATTGTAGGTCTAAGTCATGGGAAGACAAGAATTGAAATATTCCAAAAATTCCTTTCTATACATCTAAAATCTATTAATGAGTTTCATATTCGTTGTTTAATCTAATGTTTAGTTCATAGTATCACAAACGACGCTTTGAATTTGTACTCTACATACAAACGTAATGATTTGTATTTTTACACAATCCAACGAACTTTGATATCACAATTAATGTTGTAGTTGCTATTATTATATATTCTGGTAAACAATCTTAAGAAGTAGCAAGAATAAAGTGTCAACTATATCAGCCATATTTTGGGATGTTGTTAGGGTTGTAATTGCTGTTGTTATGTATCTGTTTGTTTGTTAATTTCCGGTATAAATTCCTTCTGAGGAACTTCAGCGATACAAGTCCTTTCTTAATTAAACCAGTTTTTTCCCCCTCTATACAACTTTGTAGTACACAGAATTTCCAATCAGTACATTAAATTCAACTTCTTTTATAGCACACGCTATAAGTCACAGTGATTCGTACACTTTACTTACGGTGCCTGCTGTTCGCTTGACTCAATTATCTCTATCTTCAATCTATCTGCATATCTATTCTTTATTTGCCGGGCTTATATATTAAAAAAGAGGGCGTCCCGAACAAACTAGGAAATTCACGATCATTCGAGAAACTCCTCGCACACGCCACCAGCGCCAATAGCATCACGTGACTTCTGCTGTCGTAACACTATTATTATATATTCTGGTAAAAAATCCTGAGAAGTAGCAAGAATAATGTGTCAACTATATCAGCAATATTTAGGGCCTGTTTTTACTTTTATTATATACATATAGTGTGTATTTTATTTTATTTTGTGTGTGTGTTTGTATCTATGTAAACTTTAAAGTTTTGTACTTTTACGCAACTGTAAAAAGGCGAAAAATGTACGACTCACTAAAACAACCACAATTAATTATTCACTGTAAAGATCCTATAATATCAAAACTTATAAGTAGTAACCACTTTTGTTGCACTGCCATCTTCCGGCATAGTTGCCATAACACTCCATCATCTATCGGCAAATTATCAAAAAAGGAACAGATATGAAGCGTGGTTAAATACATCAATCGAAAGGGTTTGATCTCCCGAGTCCAAAACTGTAATTAAATCTCAAATCGGTCAAGATATGACGGAGCCATGAGCTAAAACTCCGCTCAGCCGCGGTTAAAAACACTTTGCTATTTTTGCATTTCTCTCTGACATTAAACTTTGTAATACACTTTCATTCCTCCAGTTTATGCGACTCACGTAAGAAACTATTTAATGTGTTTGACTGAAGTCTCTCTCTCTCTCTAGTATTGAGTGGCTCAGCGGTAAACCTTAGGGCTTAGAACGCTAAATTCAGGGTTCGATCCCTGCAATAAGCACAGCGCAGATAGCCCATTGTGCAGCCTTTTTTTAGTAATTTCCTCCCTAGTGGACGTTTTATGAATTACCTAGTTATTATTTCTTTACGAGTGTCGTATTTCTTAAAAAGTATAAAATTAAGAACTCATTTACAACAAAACTTAGACCATAGAAATCTAAACAAGTAGTGTGGAAAGCAGTATTGAATTCAGGGGGTATACAGGGGAAATTTTTCCTTGAGCCAAAAAAAAAAAAACCCTGAAATATTTTAGGTATTTTAATTAAAGAACAGTATTATCCATTTTGTCCAATGTTAATATTAATTCATTTCCCCCAGCTTATTATTTACCCAATTCTCTGATGAAAAGGTCTGGATTCAACACTGATGGAAAGTACGTACAATTAATAGCTTGGAAAAATACTTAGCTAAGATTCAATCGTTTAATGAAGTCGAAGGCTAGAACCAAAGATTCATTTGTCTTTACATCAAATACAAAACCTATGAATGAATATAAAATATTTCTAAAACAAATGGCATTAACTAGTGAAGAACTGACGTACTTCCTAGAGTGACCCACGTGTTTGACCGGAACTGGTGATGACGACAGAGCGACTGCGTGTATCCACTACTTGGATTATCTCCCAGCTGTAGCTCCAGGACGTTTCTGGAACGTTGCTGGAGCCAAACACAGTTGTACGCTTCTTGTCCACTGTGAAAGTTCGCCAAATAATGATAAGAATACATTGTATTGAAAAATATTTCAGTTAAGAATACATTGAATTGAAAAATATTTCAGTTAAGAATACATTGAATTGAAAAATATTTCAGTTAAGAATACATTGTATTGAAAAATATTTCAGTTAAAAATATATTTTACTGAAAAGGAAATGGTCGTAAAAGAATTAAAACAGTGTAATAAAAATGAGACATTAAAGAAACATCTGAATTAAGACCACAGTGAAACAAGTAAAGAAAAAAAATCAAAAAGAGAAGTAAATGTAGGGATGGCTAATAATAATCCTTCAAAAAACAATGTAAACAAGATAGTAGGGATGGTATTTACATCATCCCTACATAATAGACAAAAATAGGATAATATATGTTAATTCTTGCCTGTGCTATTATGTAGG